AAGGTTATAGAACACCAAGCAGATTTAACCCAAAGACTAACTCAAGACATTTAATTCTCAAACTCCCAAAGGTCAAGGATAAAGAATCCTAAAAGCAGCAAGAGAAAAGAAACAACATACAGTGGGGCTCCAATACATCTGGCAGCAGACTTTTCAGTGGAAACCTTACACTCCAGGAGAGCATGGCATGACATATTTAAAGTGCTGAAGGAAAAAAATTACTCTAGAATAGCATATCTGGCAAAAATATCCTTCAAGCATGAAGGAAAAATAAAGGCCTCCCCAGACAAACAAAAATTGAGGGATTTCATCAACACCAGACCATCCTACAAGAAATGGCTAAAGGGAATTCTTCAATCTGAAAGAAAAGGATGTGAATGAGCAACAAGAAATCATCTGCGGGTAAAAAACTCACTGGTAACAGAACACAGAAAAACAGTATAACACTGTAATTGTGGTGTGTAAACTACTCTTAAGTAGAAAGGCTAAATGATGAACCAATCCAAAATAATAACTACGACAACTTTCAAGACATGGATAGTACAATAAGACATAAAAGAAAACAACAGAAAGTTAAAGAGACTGTGGGATGAAAAAGTGTAGAGTTTTTACTAGTTTTTGCATGTTTATGCAATAAGTGTTAAGTCATCATCAGTTTAAAATAATGGGTTAGAATATGTTATTTGCAAGCTTTGTGGTAACCTCAAATTGAAAACATACAATGAATACACAAAAGATAAAAAGCAAGACATTAAAGCATACAACCAGAGAAAATCACCTTCACTGAAAGAAAGACAGGAAGGAAGGAAAGAAGGAAGAGAAGACCAGAAAACAAATAATAAAACAGCAGAAGCAAGTCTCTACCTATCAATAACAACATTAAATGTAAATGGATAAACTCTTCAATCAAAGATAGAGTGGCTGAATGGATGAAAAAACAAGACCCAATGATCTGTTGCCTATGGAAAGCACACTTCACCTATAAAGATACACAGAAACTAAAAATAATGGGATAAAAAATACTCCATGCCAATAGAAACTTGAGCAGGAGTAGCTATAGTTGTATCACATAAAATAGATTTTAAGACAAAAACAAGAAAAGACAAAGAAGATCATTAAATAATGATAAACAGGACAATTCAGCAAGAGGATATAATGCTTGTAAACATATATGCATCTAACACTGAAGCACCCAGGTATATAAAGCAAATATTATTAGAGCTAAAGACAGAGATAGGCCCCAACACAATAATAGCTGAAGACTTCAACACTCCGCTTTCAGTACTGGACGGATCTCCCACACAGAATACCAACAAAGAAACATTGAACTTAATCTGCACTATAGAATAAATTAACCTAATAGATATTTACAGAACATTTCATCCAGTGGCTGCAGAACACACATTCTTATCCTCAGCATATGGATCATTCTCAAGGACAGACCATATGTTAGATCACAAAACAAGTCTTAAAAGATTCAAAAAAATTTAAATAATATGAAGCATCTTCTCTGACCACAATGGAATAAAACTAGAAATCAATAACAAGAGGAGTTTGGGAGACTATATAAGCACATGGAAATCAAACAACATGCTCCTGAATGACCAGTGGGTCAATGAAGAAATTAAGAAGGAAATTGAAAAATTTATTAAATGATAATGGAAGGACAATATGCCAAAACCTATAGGATATGGTGAAAGCAGTATTAAGAAGGAAATTTATAGCTAAAAGTGCCTACATCAAAAAAGAAGAAAAACTTCAAATAAAAAACCTAACGATGCATCTTAAAGAATTAGAAAAGTAAGAACAAACAGAGACCAAAATTAGTAGAAGAAAAGAAATCCTCTTTTCCTTTCTCCACCATCGTGGTGTGTTCTTGCCTCCACTTCTCGCCATGTCTTCTCACAAGACTTTCAGGATTAAGCGATTCCTGGCCAAGAAACAAAAGCAAAATGGTCCCATTCCCCAGTGGATTCGGATGAAAACTGGAAATAAAATAAGGTACAACTCCAAAAGGAGACACTGGAGAAGAACCAAGCTGCGTCTATAAGGAATTGCAC